CTTTGCAGTAATTACCCTATGCGTAGCAAGACATATCTACAATGCTGACGAGATCTCGGCACAGGCTGGAAGACAATGTTGAGAGCGAAGTTCGCCAAGCTTGAATATTGACTGTGGGATGATACGCCACATGGGGAACATGATATTCCTTCCCCGCAAAGGCCCAGGTGAAATCACTTTGTACTCCCACTGCACTGGCACATTCGGAAAGGTCGCTCATCTGAAGGAAAGACTGATCGCTTTCTGAACATTGTAGAGTACTGCACCATTTAGAGCCTTGATCGTCCACTCATCCGCGTCACTCAGCTGAGAACGAACCAAAATTACTCCCATTTCTTAATGAGGTTTTCAAGAGCCGCAGGGAAGGCAATTCCTTCCGGCTGAGCGCCTCCCCAATTTTAGCTGATTTTCTGTCATGGAGACTGTCCTCATCCCTCTTAGCTCAGTTGGTAGAGCGCGTCACTAGTAATGACGAGGTCAGTCGTTCAAATCGGCTAGCGGGAACACAACTGGGTAGAGATTCAAGATCCGATCTGAGCTCTGACATTGGGGCGATCAAGTAATCACAATCCTTGAACGTTTTGTCCCGCTCTCAACCTCATCAGCGGTCCGACTCACCAGATAGCACCCCGCGGATCCCTCTGCCTTTCCAATCATTTCATCGCGTGGAAACTCGTCCATATTATAGTAGATGCTGTACAAGTAGTAGGCACGCCGAAAACAGGCCCGGCAACGCCTCACGGTATCCCGAACTTCTCCTTCTCCTCTTCCGTCCATCTGAATACAGGCAACGGGTGAGCCTCCGTATTGAAAACCCACTGGTCGAGCGGAAGCGGATCCTCGTCCAGAAACAGCAAGTACAGATACTTCAGCCTGCAAAACACGATCAGACTCAGACTCGCAGGGGGGGTATAATAAACCCGAATCAGCGCAACGCAACGCACGTTTCTGCCAGGAAGTAGCTGGGCATCTCGTCTAGCAGCGGCGCGGGCGACTTCTCCGTGTACTGCAGCGACGCGTAGCCCGATGCGGTCCTGGACTCCCGCTCGATCGCCTGGAAGATCTTCCAGCCCATCTCCCTCCAGCGCGTCTCGCCCGTGACGCGCCACAGGATGTACAGCGATTCTACCGTCTGTGAAGAGACGGCGTGAGTCATCTGCGGACACGGAAACCTCAAGGGTAGCAACGCACCTCCGGGCGGAGGTAGTAGCCCGCGGTTCTGACGAGGTAGTCCCGGCCGGGCGGACCCGTCTCCGGTGCAGGCTGGTGATTCTCTTCGACGCCGGGTGGGAAACGGCGGCCCTTGAACGTCCCCTGGTTCGTCGCAAGCGACGTCCTCCATTCCTGCACCTCATCGATCCACAGCCGGACCTTACCTGCCTCCCACCGCCCGTCCTCCGTCTCCCCCCACGGGATGGAGATCATCACCTCGTCTGGCGAGAGGCCCGACCCTTGGTCCGCGTACAGCATGTAGCAGGTCTCGGCCAGACCCTTGGCCGCCCAGAGATGGAGCTCCTTGAGCGACTTCTGCTTGGACAGGATGTCGTACCCGCGCGATGCGAAGCCAAAGTCCTTCCCCAGCTCGTGCAGCCGTGGGGCGAGCGCGTCGAGCGGCAGCGTATGCGCGCCGAGCGCGAGGAGACCGGGCAGGAAGCATGAGAGGTGCTCCAGCTTGTGCGATGGCTCGGCGGCATGGAGATGCGTCGTCGAGGACGTGTCCGTCATATACAGCAGATTGCGTTCCGGAGAGACGTGCAGAAGGCTGGTCAAGATGTGTGTACTTGTACGCAGATCTGCAGAGAACTCGTCAGCCGGGAGAACAGTCTGCTTCGTTGCGCTACCCACACATATCAAGGCTTGCCTTGTCTGTTTTGGAGGTCAGAAGATACTCTTTGAGCAGGTACTCGTGCGTGCTATCAGCCATGCCGCCAACAGATAGTTGCAGTGGGCAGTGAAGCGTCCAACGTCCATCTGTGTCATCGCACTCGACTGGCTGGCCTGAGGTCAGGTTCCAAGTAGTGGGTAGCATGCCGCCGTACTTCCGTACGTCAGCTTTAGCGAGTGCATCGATCACCCCATTAGCCTGTGAAAGCGCTTAGTCGAGCAGGACATGGAGGATGTCGCTGCGCAACTCACCCGGTCATACCAACGTTTATTCCCAGTCGCCTTGGCCAGATACAGATATTCCACTTGCAAAGTGCCGATCTCGGCCAGCCCGCCAAACTCCCCGCCACTGAGCTTACCGCTACGCATGCACCGCATGAGCACATGTCGCGAAGCGGTTCGGAAGCAAAAGGCACGCACTCTTCCGTGTTGATGCCGTAAACAGGAAACGGAGAGTCGTATCGCTCGAACACAGGGTCCAGCTGCTCCGCGAGCTGTTCGGCTAGATCGAGCAAGGTGCGGTCGCGTGACAAGGCATGCGCGCTGAGGAAGCCGCCCAGGTACCGGATGACCGTCTCGAAGTATGACGCCGACAGGCCCGGATGCATGGCGAAGGTGATGTTGGACACCAGCGGCATGGCGCGGGCGTACTCGGCATCGAGGCCCATGAGCAGCATCGTGTCGAGTGAGTCGACCGCGGTCACGCCCCAAGCGTTGAATCTAGCCGTCGCGTCAGGGTGAGCGGAGGTGCCGTGGGAGGCGGAGACGGGACGCACGGATCTTTGTACGCGAGTGTCAACGGCGACAATTCGTCGTGCGGGGCGGCGTATTTCTCCCACCCGCGGTACGCGTGCAAGAATGCAGCCTTGACGTCCTGTGCGCGCTGGGTCCAATGCAGATCTGCCGCAGGCGTCGCTGCAGCAGCTGGCGGGGCAGTCGAATGCACGAGACTCGGGGACGAGCTCGAGCTACTGGTGGGCGCGGACTCCGAGACAGCATGTGTCACGGCGGAAGGCAGCACAGAGACCTCCGCATATGCCACGTCTGCGCTCATGAACGACGCGGACACATACTGGTGCGGCTTGGCCTGCCAGACGAGGACGACGGACACGCAGGCGAACGCGGCGTAGAGGTACGGGCGGTGGCGGAATATCCGGAGCAGGCGGGAGCGCTCGCGCTCCTGCAGACGCACGTAGGGGGACTGAACCATGCTGTCGCGAATGAACCCGTCGCTCGCCAAGGAACTGCATTCATCCGAGTGATAGTCCGAGTAGAGGCGTGAAGTTTGAAGCAGAGATATTCGGGGTTAGGGTTTGGGAGATCTGCGGCCAACTCTTGTGCTCGTCCCACTCAGCCTCAAGCTTTCTCTCTCTCTCTCAGTCGTGCAGTATCCCCCCATGCGCATCCTGACATCCTCATACATTCCGGACATGTTGCCTGTCTGAGAAGGGACTTGGCGCGCCACTGCCAGGGCTGCGATCCGGAGCGCGTGGACTGTCAAGCATGATCCGCGAAAGATTCGACGATTAGATGAGATCCGTTGGGCTCTGACGTCGGCGGGCGGGTGGCTATGTACTATGTTCCTACTCTTCGCAAAGAACAATTCCGAGACCAAACTGAGCGCGCTCTTTCACCATCTCCCATGCACTATCAGAATCTGTTCCGCTGTGATCCACTGCCCAAGAATACCGCACCAAATCAGCTTCGCTCTGACTCTATCATGAACTCCCATGGTTACAAATCCTGAGACTTCTGCCGTGATCTCGTCAGCCCAAAGCTCTCTCTGCAGTGCCGCTTTCACCTGCTGCCCATGGCGCCCGCTACCACCTTCGTCAAGATCCAAGTCTGGGGCTCGTTCTTGGAGACATTCGCCTTCGGGGTCTACGTGGTTACATGCGGGTTCTGCTACCCCGTCCTGCTCACGACCTACACGCGAAGCCGGACTGGGCTTTCTGCGGTCAATTGGCCGCTGCTGATCCTTTTCCTCGTCTTCCTCGCGAAAACGACGTCCTCGATGGGCATCCACATCTTCATGGACCTGCAGGCTGCATCGCAGGTCGAAGTATTGAAGACGGTGGCGGGTTTCCTGGACGGCGGGAACCCCGTGAACGTCGCCCAGGTTAGTCGTTTTTTTTTGGGACTGACGCAGATGCTTACCGCCGCAGGACACATCACTGCTTGTCCAAGCCGTCGTGTTCAGTGGCTTCATGGTCAGTGGTGCTGGCTCTGTGGACCTGCTTTGGCATTGACTGTTACAGATCTACCGCTGCTGGATTGTTCATCACCGCTCGCTGTTGACGGTGGCCATCCCCATCGTGCTGTGGCTGGCTGCTGTGGGTCTCATGGGATCGGTCATCCATCTTTACACAGCCTCCTCTGTGCAGGGTCTGTTCGCCGTGGAGAAGCCGAGGGTCCTGGCGGTCGGCTTTCTGGCGGTGGAGATCGCATTGAATCTGATCACGAGTGGTGCGCACTGTCTGTTGGCGATTATCTGAATATGAGATGACGTCGATCGCAGCACTGCTTGCTATCCGCGTGTACCGTGTAGAGAATATCCGACGCACAACTCCACCAGTGAACGCGAGTGGGAGTTTGCCCACGCTGAATCAACCGCAACAACGTGTGTGCATAGTCGGAGGGAGGGTCCATCAAACAGACCACCCGTGGGTCCGCATCGCCGTCGAATCGGGGCTCTTCTACACCGTGATGAGCACCGTCACCCTGATCCTCTTCGTCCTCCAGAACGATGCGACTTATGCGTGCATCTCTCTCGTTCGTCAATCTCCTACTTTCAACTGCTCATTAATCATTCCCCGCACAGCTGGTCCAAGTAATCGGCATCTCGTTCAATCTCATCGTCATCCAGAACCGTCAGCGGCCGGACAACTCTTTCGAAAGCACGATGAACAATTACCCGCTCCAGTTCACGTCGTCCAATAGCTTGCACGGAAGCGCGATTGAGTTTGCGTATCCAAAGAACTTCCAGCCGAAACGAACTCGCCAAGCTTCAGAGGCCGAGGATGCCGATGCATGTGAAGTAGCATAGTGTAATACTTGACCTGTATGTAACTGTAAGTTATCCCCAGCTCAGATAGATGTGCCATCCTAAGCGCGAATTTGGATCACATGAGCCTGGCACGTGGCCGCGTCCTCCTTATCTCATTACCACCAGCTTCGCGATGCTGCTCTGGCCCTCCTTCCTGACCACCCTCTTCGCACTCGATACCCTGCGACCAGTCGAGTCCAATGCGCCTCTAAAGCCCCGCGTTTTCATCATCAACATGTTTCTCCGCGAGGCCGCCGAATGGCACGCCATCCCAGAATTCGACATCCTTGCACGCAATATCACAATACCCGGCCTCTTCCCGCTCTTCCCGGACGTGCACTGCACCGCCGACGGGCAGGTCTGCCAGCTCATCACCGGCCAGGCGGAGATCAACGCTGCCGCATCCGTGCTCTCCCTGCTGCACGCGCACGCGCACTTCGACCTGACCTCAACGTACTTCATCGTCTCCGGCGTCGCAGGGATGAACCCGCGCCACGGCACCGTCGGAGGCGTCGCGTTTGCGCGGTTCGCGATCCAGAGCGGGCTGCAGCACGAGCTCGATGCACGCGAGACGCCGCCTGGGTTCGCCTCGGGGTACCTCGCGCTCGGGACGACGCGCCCGGGGGAGTACCCCGGCTGGGTCGACGGCACGGAGGTGTTCGAGGTGAACGATGCCTTGCGGCGGGCTGCGGCGCGCATGGCTGCGTCCGCATCGCTCGTGGATACGCAGGACTGCGTGGATCTGCGCGCCCCGTATGCGACTGAGCCCGCGTTTGCGGCGGGCGCTGCCCCGCCAGCGGTCGTGTTCTGCGACACGCTGACATCGGATACGTTTTGGAGCGGCACGCTCCTGGCGGCAGCGTTTGAGAACACGACGCGGGTCTTAACGAACGGGCTAGGCTCGTACTGCTCCACGCAGCAGGAGGACAACGCTATCCTGGCCGCGATGCTGCGCGGTGCGTTGGCTGGATGGGTGGACTTTGGGAGGATATTGATCATGCGCTCTGGCTCTGATTTCGACCGCCCGCCCCCTGGTGGCAGCTCTGCGGACAACCTCTTCGCTCCGCTCGTGGCCATGCGGCCTGCCACCGCCAACTTACGTTTGGCGGGTCTCAAGGTCGTGCAGGGTATTCTGGATGGCTGGGATGCGACATTTGAGCAGGGGATTAAGCCTACGAACTACATCGGAGATATTCTAGGGTCTTTGGGCGAGAAACCGGACTTTGTCATGTAAATTTCATCGAGCCCACAGTGCGTCGGAGATATCCAGCACGTCTCGCATCTCTTGAACGTCATGGACACGGACAATGGCGGCGCCTTGCTGCACTGCACATGCGACAGCGGCAGCGGTCGCCCATGCTCGCTCTGTTGGTTCCGTTTTCCTTCCCCTAGCCTTTTCCAGAATGAGTCCCAAGAACGACTTCCTGGATGTACCGATAAGTTGCGGTAGTCCATGTAGAGGATTCCGGTGCCCTGGGCGAGCGTGAGACAAGGGCTCAAGTGAAACGAGTCCACCTCACCTTGCGCTGTCTTTTCCTCCGTGACATCAGACACCTTCCTCAGGACCTGCAAGTTTCCATCGACCGTCTTGCTGAACCCAACTCCTGGATCCGCAATCACAAGCCAGCGCCGAACGCCTCCCTTTCCTTTCACGATCGCGTCTATCTTGGCACCCAGCTCGACGCGGATGCCCTCGACCACGGCACTGTCTTTCCCAGCGTAGTCGTACGCCGAATAGTCTTTGTTACCAGATGCTTCTCCTCGAGAGTGCATCAGCACCACGGGAACTGCATATGCCCGGGAAAGCGCCTTCATCTGCTCCATACACCGAGCATCTGGAGCGGCATCCGGGCCTGTAAACGCGTAAACATCGTTGATGCAGTTCGCACCCGCTTCGAGAGCTGCCCGCGCGACCTCCGGCCGGAACGTGTCGACGCTCATCAGGAGATCCGGGTGGTCAGCCCGCACGGCGGACACGAACGGCGCCACTCGTGCGATCTCTTCCTCGGAATCGATGTGCGCAGCCCCGGGTCGGGTCGAGTATCCTCCCACGTCCAGAATGTCGGCACCAGCGGCGACTGCATCTCGGGCATATTGCAACGCAGTCGGCAGCGTGTTGTGCGTCGCACCATCGGAGAAGGAGTCGGGTGTCGTGTTCAGCGTTGCCATCAGATACGTTTTGCCCGCCAATGCCCAGTGCTTCAACGAAGTCGGTGCAGACTGGGCGGGGGTACCGCGACAAACAGGATAGGGAAGCACTTTGATCATTGGCTCAGAGCTTTTTGGCAAGGCAGAGAGTAACTGGCCGATAGTCTGGTGCGAAACGGGGTGCAGCAAGTCGGGGATCATGCTTTCGCGAGATGAGCTACAGCATCAAGAAGCATGGTGGAGACGATGACCCACTCGTTCAAAGGCCGGAGCATAAACTCCCGCTCTCCTAACCGGGGATGCGGGACCACCAATTCGCCCTCCAGATCGTCCAATTCTTTGCGAGGACTTTTGCGTGTGTCGATCACGAGATCGCCGTACAGCACGATGTCAAGATCGACCGCCCGGGGCCCATTCCGGATGGACGGCACCCGGCCCACCAGATGCTCAATCCGTTTGAGGTGTTGCAGCAGCTGCAGAGGCTGCATGTTTGTTTCGATCTGCGTACCATGAGCGGGAGCTGGGGTATCATCGGAGACCGGACTGACCAGACAAGCACAGTTGATGAACGACGGCTGGTCCGTCACATACATCGGCGCCGTTTCGTACATAAAGCTGGTGTCGACCACCGCGACAGTAGAATCGGGCGTCTCGGGAGATTCGAGCAAACGGAGCGCGTGTTCGATGTTCTGGAATCGATCACCGAGGTTCGAGCCTAGAGCGATAGCGACCTTGAGCGGCTGTAGCTCAAGTCAGCCAAGAATGGTGTAGGACTCTTGAGACCGCACCTGCTCGTCGAATCTCTGCGGAAAATCAGCGTGGGATCGAGACACCTCGATTTCCGACGAGCCCGCGAACACAATGGCGCAGGGTTTGGCAGCCCTGACGGTCACAACAGGAGAGGTCTTCCGATCGAGGTTTTGTAATGTGTTCTCAGCGATGTGCAATGTGAGCGCTTCCAGTGTGAGATAAGAGGACGCGACGACCGTCTATCTATCCGGGTTATACACCTGCATCGGGGGTCCAGTGAATAGCACCACGTACTTGATGCAAGTGCCGCGTCAGCGCGCGAAAGTGGACAGTGCTTGCATGTTCTATCGTGACATTGACGCACACAGTCTGCCGCTCCTCCCGCTCACAAGCATTGACGCCGATGATCGCAAGACACTGCAGGTCGTTCACGTAATGTCTTAAACGCAGGATCTCCCAGCCAGCGGATTTGGACTTGGCCAGGGCTCCAACGGCGATGGACCGGCAGTTCAGCGGAGCCCGCGTCTGCACAACCGAGGCCTCCACCTCCACGACCATCCCCGAGCCAAACAGCAGGTCCAGTATCCGATCGAGAACAGCTGCCAGCGTCTCGAACGCCGCCGTCTGCTCGTTCAGCGCCCCGCGGAGGATCTTGCACAGGTGCGAGTAATTGATCGTCGTCTTCAAATCGTCGTGCGTCGCTGCGGTGGAGATGTCATGTGTGATGGAGAGCGAGACGAGGAGCGGCTGCAGTGCAGCCTCACCGGCGGGCTTAGGCCAGACTGCCCCGGTGAGGAGAGGGACTGTGAGGAAGAGATCGTTGATGCGGATTTTGTCCTTGGTGGATCGGGAAGACATTTCGTGTTTGCACGAGTTGTGGATCGAACTCTTTTACCGTCGAACCGGCTTTCAGCTTGCCCAAATACTTACCAGGCTGTGAGATACCAGAATGAAGCAGTATACACTTGTTGTTTTATACAGAATTTCACTCGCGATAACAGCCCTGAGGAAAGATATCAAACAAATCCCCCTGTGCTCAAACTCATGGGCAGATCCTGTTGGCCCGTTCCCCAAGTGCTATCTTTCGACGCTCCCATGACCAGAATCAACTCCCCGCCGTCCAAGAACAGCTGGTGGGAGATCCAGTTCTTGGTATAGCTCTTCCCGTTCAGCGTCGCCGACTGGATGTAGATATTCGTCGCACTCAGACCCTGCGCGGTGATCGTCGCGACGTTGCCGGTCAGTTGGTTTCGGATCTTCGTTTGCGGGAAGTGCGGTCGGCTGAGCAGATACGTGTCCTGGCCCGCCACAGGGTAGAATCCTTGCTGTGGTGTTAGCAACGGGAAGGTCAGGTCAGGTACCGGAAACGACGCACCGAGAAGACTCCACACTGCGTAGGCGCCCATCGCCCCTGAATCATCGTTGCCAGGTAGCCCGTCGACCCTGGGATAAGAATGAGTGCGTGAAATGAGCCAAAAGAGTCATACGCACGCCGTGCTGAAGTTTTGAGACAAAGTTTCGGCTACCCGGTCCACTGTTTTCGTCGGCTGGCCAAAGTAGTTGTAGAGATACGTAGGCAAGAATCCGGGTTCGTCTCCGATCGACTGCAGAGCCTGGGGTCAGGCCCACGGTATGAACAGAGAAGTGAAGGAGACTTGCTCCAAAGTTATTGGCGAAATACGCATCGAGCCGCGCGCTGGCAGTCTGAGGACCACCCATTGCTTTGATTAGTTTGGCCATGTCCTGGGGCACAAACCAGCTATACTCCCAGGAAGAAGCCTCGTAAAACTCTCCGCCGTCGGGATTCTGCGCAGTACACTCAGCAGCCAGTTCGATCGAAACGGAACAAGCCACTCACCAAGAAACAATCATTCGGACCAAAGGATGGACTGCAGTGGTCCGGACGGAAAACATCGCCGACATCCCACCGCGGGTCAAAGTACCACGAGCCATTCTTCGTTCGAGGCTGGATGAATCCATGGAACCCTGTGTTCGTGGCATTCGGGTTCCAGATGTTAAACCAATCGCCCGACTTCGCAAAGTACTTCTGTTGGTCGCCTGTCTTGCCGAGCCCCTGCGCGACGAGTCCGATCCCGAAGTCGTTGTACGCATATTCCAGCAGTCGCGAGGCGCTTCTGGTGTTGGGGCCCTCGTTCGGCGGGTTATCGGACGTGTCGTTGACGGGGATGAAGCCCAGAGCGGCACGTGCCGCGATTCCGCCGCGGCCTTGCACGCTGAAATCGCCGGGGACGGTGGCATCCTTGACCATGGCCTTGTATCCCGTCTCCCAGTCGATCCCCGCCTTGATCCCCTTGAGGAACGAGTCGGCAAGAAGTGAGTCGGCATTGGAGCCACCCTGCAAGAAGCCCTTGTCGAGCGACATGCGGCAGTCCGGAAGCCAGCCTGTGTGTCGATAGATGTCGATCAGCGCTCGAACGACTTCAGTCTGCGTTTTGGGAGCTGTGATCGCATAGAGGGGGTGCACAACACGGAATGAATCCCTTTGATACAGTCAGCATCTGACAATGGTTAGTAGAAGTCATCGCACCAGATGCAGTAGAAACTGTCATAGTACGGCTCATTCGAGACCCACAGCGGGTTGTCACCTGTGATGTTGGTCGGAGAGATGTACGTGCGGTACAGCGAGCTCCAGAACAAGACTTGCGTGTCGTGCGGGACATTCGTGGTATCCAATTGGACAGTGCTGAACACCTCGTTCCACTTCGCACTGGCATTGGATAAGTCGAAGACCTGGCGAAGAGATCGAGAAAAGGACGAACCGTGCCGCCGTTTTCACGCTGTCGAAGCTCGCAGAAGTGATCGCGGGAACCTCAGCTGCAGCGAACTGACAGGCCTTCTCGGGGCTCGTCCACGAGATACCCATCCGGACAACCAGCGTACTGCTGACATTCCTTGAAGGCGTGTCGAAGCCCAACAGAAAGCCAGCTGGACTTTGGGCCCCGATATCTTGCGCAAAACTGGCCTTCTTCGACAGAGCTCGGTAGTGGAGCTTCCCGCTAACGTTCTGATAAAACTGTGCAGTGTCGAAGGGGACAGGAGAGTCGAAACAGTAGTGCACTTGGAACGTCGACTCTCCGAAAGACGGCTGGTAAGCGCCTGTGCCGGAGATCTGGGTGCCCTTGGTGGTAGGATTAATTCTCAATGCGGTGGACCCGACGTTTTCGTATGTCCCAGCCAAGTCTAACGCATATAAGGTGAGTTGAGCACTGGCCGTCGAATCAAGGCACCACGCACCGTTCGTCGCATCGACGATGAGAACCATCTGTTTCGTGCCTGCTGGATAGGTGAAGCGGTGCACGGCGACATGCTCGGTGACCGTCACTTCGGCCAGGACGCTGTTGTTCAGAGGGATGCTGACTGGGGAAACGTTCATCAACGACTTTCATGCCCTTATCCGTCGGAGTACTCACAGTATCCCGGGGACGTGTTCGGTGTTCCGTGAGCCATGGCTCGACCGACCTGGTCCACCGTGCACTTCTTGAGATCTGAACCGCATTGGGTATCGGTCAGAGGCAGCAGTGGGAAGTTGCCCAGCGATGCGCCGCCACCGGTCCCGTCGTCGTGTCTGCGGACATCGTGAGGGCAGGAAACACGACACACGAAAGGCAGCCTACAGTTGCGAGATGCCTGTGATGGGTGACCCATCGCTGACATACCCACCCTGCTTATCGGTCGAGTTGCTGTCGGCGCCGGCCTTGACGGAGCCCCACGGAAGCGTCGCACCCGCAAACACATGCCCCCCATTCGACGTCCCGATGAGCGTGTCGACGAACTGCGCAGGGTCGGCTTGCGCGGACACGGCGCGGAGTTGGGCGACGGCGGCAGCTGCTGCACAGACCAGCACAGAGGACGACCACATCCTGCGCGAAAGAGGCTCCGCGAATCAGGCTGGGAATCGAAGCCGGACTGTGCTGCTTTTTGAAGATCGAAGACGCGCTGCAGAAATTCCATCTTTCATTCCCTGGAGAAAGGCCGGGGATGGGACGGACGCGCAGAAGCATGTGGGGAGGAAGCTGCCAGATCCAGATTGGCCGGCAGCAAAGAAACATGGGTAGTCGTCTGCGCAGTCACGAGCGAGATTATGCTCATGGAATCTGAGAAGTCTCTGATGTAGTCAACTTAATAGTTCTTCAATGCGGTGGGAGTGCAGACGTCCGCAGCCGGATCCCTCGTCTCAAGCGGCGACGCTCATCGAGAAGCTTCGCGCAGAAGGGTGAGAACGGCACTGGGGGGAACCGCCAAGTTCATTTCCGAATCACAGACTTCGCCCCCGCGCGACGGCGCTGGAAGGGATATGCAGCGAGGCTGGGAAATAGAAGGGAAGGATTGTGTGTGAGATGGGCGCGTGATGCGTCCTCGTCCCCCGGCAGGACGATGCCGTCTGGTTACGAGCGTCCAGATGGCAGCTCAGCGATGCTTCGAACTGGATGGTGGGAGAGAGGCAGGGAGGGCCGTACCACGTGCTTCTTACCCACATGGGACAAGGTCTTCCTCCCTGGGGTCACCTGAATCGGCGCGGTCCCAGAGCGCGCAGGGGTTGACGCTGAGGACTGGGCTTTGGGTCGTAAATACCGACAACGCCGCAGGTGGACAAGTCTGCGCGCCTGGAGCCCCACGGATCAGCCTGGAACCCCGTCTCTCCAATGTATATATATGCCAGTGTCGATTGATAGCGTAGTGAAACTGATCGTCCTAAACCTTGGCTACAGAAGTACAAAGCATTACATTGGAGGGCACGGGTGTGAATAACGATAAAAGCAGTGTGAGCAATAGGTTGTGTGTCGTAATGGAGACTTCTCAGCTGAGACTCTATGCCCAGCGCCCCAGCAGTGCCATCAGCCCGCATCCCAGGAGCATCGTGCCGATTGCATACGCAAGATGCCCATTCGAGCTGTTCATCATCTCCTTGTTGAACAGGAACTCGTGAGCCAGAAGCTACGGCTGGTCAGCCTCCGAAGATCGCAAGAGCACGTAACCACCCACCTCAACCAGCCCCGTGTAAATCAGTACACCAGCGCTGAGCGAGTCCAACACCCGCTGACGATCGACGCCGTAGCGCTGCCCGGGTTGTACGTCCTCCGCACGCCAAGACCAACAGCGATACCGATGGGAGTGCTGAACCCGTATATGATCGCAGCGACGACCGGAACGTAATTGTAGCGTGGCGGAAGCCTGATGCCGGCTAGCCGCGAGCCGAGACCGAGGCCTTCAAATGTCTCTGAGAGGAATAAGCGCCTGGCCGGGGCCGACTCCCGCAGGAAATGCGCACGCACGATGGAAGATGATCACCGCGAATAGCACCCGGAAGCCCTCGTCGACGGCAAGGGTCAGGCCAATGAGCACGCTGTGCAGCAGCACACCGAACTCGAGGATAGCGATACCCACGATCTGCGCACTCGCCGAATTGTCGAATCGCTCCCCGTGGTGGTGCCCATGATGCTCATGCTGATGCTGATGCGCAGATTCCTCGACGTCGCGCTCCTTCTCGATCAGTTCCGCCTCTGTCTGCGTGCTTTTCGGCGGCGTTGCCGAGCCTCCCTCAGGCCCATGTGCAGCATGCGAGCCTACAAAGTGACCATGCGGGTCTGGAGACGATCAGGATCGTGGACAACATCTCCGCAACCGGTGTCGTCGCAACTCACCGTGGCGAAGCCCGATGCTCTCCAGCTTGGACGTCCCCCACCTAAATGCGACTAGCTCGAGCACAAATATGGAGAAGATGCTGAGAAGGCATAGTGCCAGGGCGTAGGGCTGATGGCGGCTTAGCGCGGCTTAGATCGGTAGGGCCGCAGAACGCACATAGTCTGTCCACCCCGGCGACAAACAAGGAGAGGATAGCTCGGTTAGCGCCGGTGAGAGAAGGTGTATGAAGGCCGTGGCAATCTGGAAGACGGCTCAGAGGGTGGGCAACCGAACACAGAACCGCGCCTCCACGCACGATAACACCCGACCCGAAGTATTTTGCGAAGCTGCGGGACTTGAGTCAAACAAACGAAGCACTAGATGAGGAGGCATGCTCACTCAAATACGGCCTTCGGTACGTGCAGCCATGTGGATCGCCGCGCTAGCACCGGGAATAGAGCGCCAGACGATGCGCAAACGAGTACGATGAAGACCGATGCCACACGGAGATGGAAGTACGCGTTGGTGTTGGCGACCGTTGAGCATCCGGAAGACATCAGGTGTCGCGGCGACGGGGATGTGCGTCTAATAAGGGCCCGGGCTGGCGTATATCGGGCTGGGAGAGCAGATATATGTTTTCGCGTATTCAAACAGGCGGTGACTGCGAGGGTGCTCAGTTTGATGGCTGGTTATTCAGACCCTCTCGTGATTGGTTCTGATCTCATCAAATGAGTACCCACCCGGTTTCTGAGATAAAACTTAGATAAGATAACGTTTGTTAACTCCACGCTGAGGCTTATGCTCTACCTCCAGATGTCAAGCATCAGGCAAAACATAATTCGGCTTGAGATCAATGACAGCCTACGGGGAAAGAGAGAGGGTCATTCAAAAGTTAATTCCAAGTGTGGGGGAAAGGATACCGTCGTGCCACTTTGAATAACTTCGAATCGAAGGTAACATGAAGTTGAAGATGACAAGGAGGTTTTTGGACATCAAGTTTGGGAGCACAGAAAATGGGTCAACAGTGTGTTCATATTATGAGACGGATGGCCGGGAGTTTAGACCACCAAACTTCCATTCCGTGACGCACATTGACAAGTTGACACCCAGCAAGCAGTTTCGAGCAAACGAAGTTTTAATTCGCTTTAGGGTAACCGAGTGAACCGACTGTAGAGTACAACTTGTGTGTAGAGACTTGGTCCTCCTAGAGCTGCCCCTGAGGGGACGCGGATGAGTTGATGGGCTGCTGCCAACTGTCAAATAACTTCGTGGGAGCCAAAGTGTGCTATGTATGTAGTGATCTTGCCCTCATCCACAGCCCATCATTTTCTAGCCCTACGTCGGCCTTGATGCACTAGGACCCTTAGCATTCAGATTCGCATACGGCTTGTCCCAGACGGGCCTGTCACGCTCTGCGGCTAGGCCGTTTGACACCGAACAATCACGGAGTCAAAATCCGATGATGCAATTGGCCCCGAGGCGCGCCTCTCGATCGCGGATCCCCACTCGAGCTCCAACGTGGAGGCTATCGAATGCAATGCGATACGCGGGCGACGGTCCCACGGCTTCGCAGCAACTAATTCAGCAGGCTCCTCGGAGGCTTGACGTGAGGATTGGCGGGTCCACACAAGCCATGCATTGGGAAAGACTCCGGCTGAGCGAGCATCAAGCGCGTCAGGGCAGCATCAAACATCCACGCAACGCTTATATTTGTCGAGGCCCTTCTTATTTTTGGAAGCGCGAGGTGTGAACTCTGAATCACTGATTCGCGTGGTAGTCTTCGGTGTGCTTCAGTGACCCACACAGTTGTTTGAAACGTTGTTCTTTACTATCTGGTGTGTTCCAGCCTTCTTGCACGCGAGTCGCGCTCTGAAGACCTCGCAGGTCGTACACTACCCGACAGACTGACGCAGTCGCGTCCACCGAACCATGAGCCATGCTCACCCTTCGCTCCTTTCTTCACTACTGTCTTTGGCTTTACTCTTGTCGTTCTTCGTTCTGGCAGCGGCGACCCCTGCACCTGCACCTATACCTGCGCCGGCCCCTGATTTCGTATTCAGCATAGGCGGCTTCCCGATCACAATACCTTTCCCTCCCTTCGGTAAACCGACTCCTCCTTCCAATCCGGGAAACGGCGGGCAGCCAGGCAATGGAGGCGGGTACGGGAATGGGAATGGGAATGGAAATGGGGGAGGTGGCCAGGGAGGACAGCCAACCTCGCCACCGCAGACTCCTCCTCCTTCGCAGCCGACCCCGCCCCCATACACCCCACCACCTGCACCCCCACCTCAGCAGACATCTCAAACTCCACCACCGTCTTCTCCCACTCAGCAGCCACAGCAGCCCGAACAGCCGCAGCAGCCGCCACCTCCCGCTACTTCTACTGAACAGTCGCCGCCACCACCACCAACATCCACGTCTGTAGTGGCAGCCCCTCCTCCTCCTCCTCAATCGTGCGTGATGGTCGATCTGGGTTTTTCAATTGCTGACTTTGTCTAGAACATCGACTACCTTGCTTCCTGTAGTAACTACGGATCCTGCGCCTACGCCTACGCCTACGCAACCGAATAACAGCGGCGGCACTACCGCGCACCAGCTGGCTCCGATTGTGTCTTCCGCCAGCAAACATGGGGCGTCAACGACGCAAGACTCGTTCCCCCAGGGTTCTTCTGGCCCCTCCGATATTGGCATCGGCTCGGCCGCGGATCAAACTTCCACTGCTCCGTTCTTTGGTCCAGCAGCGACCGATTCCGCAGCATCATCGGCCTCAACGGCTCCGTCGGCGACTGCTGCGGTCTCGCATGTCAACGTCGCCGTGATCGTCGTCCCCGTGCTCATCGTCCTCACAACTCTGGTCGGCTTGCTTGTGTTTCTAGCCGTGCGTCGCCGGAGACAAAAGAACCGCGATCGATTCTGGCAGGGAAACGACGATCTCATGCGCGAGAAGCCGGCCAGCGGAGCCAATGCCTGGAACCGGCTCGAGACCCCGCCACCGCCGCCCTCGCCACTCCCGGCCTCGATCACGTTCGCGGCACCAGCCCTCGTGGTGACGCGGACACCAATGCCGCCCGTTCCACCTCCCGTTGACGACAACCCCGCGCCGCCCATGCTCCACCGGAATCTCACCGTCTCGACGAGGCGGCTTTCCGACGATGCGCGGTCGCGCGTGTCGAGTCTCATGGACTCGCCGTTCCACCTGAGCGAGTCCCCGCTTGACTTGCAGGACGAGCCAGCCCTGGCGGAGTCGCGCCGTTCGATGGACGGGCATTTCACGGATCCTCCGTTTTCCCGGGATTCGGGCGTTCTCCCGTACAGTCTAGATGCTTCACAGTTGTTGTGAGGTGGGTGGGTGGGAGATGTGCAGTGCATATAGGTCTCTAGTTACAGTACATACTTGCCTTTGTCTTGGTGCTCTCTGTCCTATAATGTATCGATTTGCTTCCGGAAGTTCTTCCACGTTTCAGGCTTATGCCATCGAAATATGAGACTGTCGCACACATGCTATCATTACCAAAGCCGGAAGTTTGACTGGAACTATCAGTTGGACCCATGCTGTGATTTCGGCCTGTAGATCCGACTGCAGAATAGGCAAGCGCATAAGTATGGACGCTTGTGCACGAGAATGCCGGCATCGTTTCGCGTGCTTCCCCACAGGTACTTACGTTGTGCGTGATCGTGTTTTTGAACATCACATGATTGCTGTTTTTGTGTCGTCAACTCAAACTTGCTTAACTAAGAACGGACGAATTGCAGTCGAGCACTGCACTAGTCGAGAGAAGCTCACAGTTTGGTGTGGCTGCTTGGTTGAATGTAAAATTCTAAGCACAGCTGAGCTCTACAAGATTTCTTTTTTTGGACAGACGCGGCTTGATCTTGAGCGTGGTTCCATCTGTTGTAAGACTCACACAGATCTTCTCACACATGCAAAAAGATTCTGGACTTCTGGTGACACGCAATTGAAGTGAGCACGAGTCTAATTTTGAGCATACTTCCCCATGAGCCATCCCATCTGAAACTCAGGAGAACAAGCACCAGCGGTCCGAGGGGGGCCGCCGGACCGCTGGCGAGCCGCGAAGAGGTAGCCAAGTAAGATCGGATTACTTGACTGGGGATACCACTGTTGATAATATTAGGGTATTTACTGTTACAAGATAGAGGTACAATCCTGGATCTTCACGGGAGCTACTCTACACTTTGTTGTTTTTTTCTTCGCTCATAGCATAAACACACATGATAACTTACTCGGCAGCGACACCCTCCTCCCAACCCTTGGAACGGTCCACAGCGCGCTGCCAGCCAGCCCACCCCAGCTCACGTTCCGCCTCGGGCAGCTCAGGAGCAAACTCGACGCTTCCCTGCGTGTTGACTTGCGCGAGCGACTCGGGCTTAGCGAGATCCCAGCCGAAGAGGCCGATGGCAGCGCCAGCGAGCAGAGCGCTGCCGAGGGCAGTCGACTCGCGCATCTCCGGTCGCACGACGGTGAAGCCGCCGATGTCGGACAATATGCGCATGGCGAGATCGCCGTTGGTCATGCCGCCGTCGACCTTGAGGACCTTGAGCTCGTTGTCGGCGTCCCGCTGCATGCTTTTGATGATCGCCCGCGTCTGGTACGCGTTGGCCTCGAGCGTCGCCCGTGCGATGTGCGACGGATTCGTGTACTGAGAAATACCGATCAGGGTGCCCGCCGCGCCGGGATCCCAGTACGGAGCGAGCAGTCCGGAGAACGCGGTGACGAAGTAGAGGCCACCGGCAGTCTCTTCCTTGGCAGCCAGCGTGTTGACATCAGCAGCGGACTCGATGAGGCCCATGCTGTCTCGCAGCCACTTGATAGCGCTGCCCGCCACGGCGATCGACCCCTCGAGAGCATACACAGGCTTCGAGCCCGGGCCGGCCTGATACGCGACGGTGCTGAGCAGACCGTACTTGCTCTTGACGATGTCGGTGCCCGTGCAGAACAGCAGAAAAGCACCCGTGCCGTATGTGCACTTCGCCTCGCCCTGCCGCAAGCACTTGTTGCCCACCAGCGCACCCTGCTGGTCCCCGATCAATCCGCCCACCGGGACGCCCTTCAGAGGCCCGTCGTAGATCTTGCCGTACACCTCAGACGTCGAGACGAGTTTCGGCAAGACGGAGGGCCGCAGGCCGAAGAACGCCAGCAGGGACGGCTCCCATTGCAGCGTAGTCATGTTCAGCAGCAGGGTCCGGGACGCGTTGCTAACATCGGTGAGGTGGATATGGGTCTCGTTCCCGCCGAGAAGGTTGTAGAGCACCCAAGACTCCACGGTGCCGAAGACCAGATCATCCTCGTCGTGCGCGGCAGAAACATCGGGGTAGTGATCGATCATCCATCGCAGCTTTATCGCCGAGAAGTAAGTCGACAAAGGAAGACCCGTGCTAATTCAATCATGAGCGGCGATCGGGAGATGGCTTGTACACAGAACTGACATGTCCCGCAACCCATCCGGGCCCTTGCTCCACTCCCCCGGGCGCACCTCGATCCCCGTCTCCTCAAGCTTCTGCGAGTAGTGCGCGACGGTGTTCTTGGTCCGCGAGTCGGTCCACACGATGGCCTTGCACAGCGGCTTGCCCGTCTTGCGGCTCCAGGCGACAGTGGTCTCACGTTGGTTCGTGATGCCTAGACGAAAACGGGACACATGACCGATGAGAATCCACCCGGAACGGATGCAGCGTGGGGTGGTGACCAACCGATGACTTTCACGCTGTCCGCCGACCAGCCCGCAGCGACGAGATTCTTCATGGCGCCGTCGATGCAGAGGTTCGCGTGCTCCATGATTTCACTCGCATCGTGGTCGTGCCATCTGCGCGGTGAGATGCTCAGCCGGGATCCGTCAGCCAAGCGGGAGGGACATACCCGGGATGGGGATAGTACTGAGGAAACTCGAGCTGATGCTGAGCGACGATGTTGGCGTACTGGTCGAAGATGATGAAGCGAACAGAGCTGCGCTGAAGTAAGACGAGTGGGCACGGAGATAACCGCGCTCCTACGTCGTTCCACAATCCAACGAACCCACGAATTCTCCTTGCTTGGACATGATGGCGGTATGGGCGAAAAGTTGCGAAGGGGGTCCCGCGGGGCCCCTATGATATACCGTCCATGCCGGCCCAAACGGGCCGCTTCGCTTACGATTATCTTTTTGGCTGATCCTGAACGCAACTCTCTGCGCGGAGACCAAGGGTCCGTGACTGCTTACTAGTCCACTCAAGGTCAGCGATAAATTCAATTCCGTTGGTGCTGTGCCTGTCTGCAGAACACAAAACGGGCTTAGACTACTCCGCTCCACGTCCTGGATCAGCGTGAATGACCATTGAGCGTGCGGTTCGGTATAGGTCGGGGACATCATTGACGCCAGGTGAATCCTAATCCCGTAATCGATCAGAGAGTGAGAGTGTCCAAGAGGAAGAGCGGAGGCTCCACGGGTTCCCATGGTCGTGGCATTCGACACGAAAGACACACACACACACTCGCTCGCAGAAGATGAGGAACGATGGTAGGGCTCACTGCCTAAAGACGCGACCTACAACTACAGTCTATCGGGAGAACTTTTTTAGAGGATCAGTTTTCCGTTTGCCACCTCGTCCGTTGCCGCCTCGTCCGTTGCCCCGGCCGCGTCCACGGGTGCCACCGCGCGCTCCGTCCTTCCTGAACGGGACGAACCCGGATTTGCCCGCGGGCGCTTCCTCGCTGCCGGGGACGGGCGCAATCGGGGGAGCAAGTACTTGGGAACATGCTTCATGTGTGGCTGCACGCGAGTCGGGTGCAATGGCTTGTCGTGCCGCAGGTAGTCCAGGTCCATCGGGTTATCTTCGAAATGGGCCTAGCGACTGATATGACAACGGGGTGCGCTGCACAGGAAGACAAACGCACCTTCAGTTTGTCGGAGTTTAGGATCTCCGTCTTCAGCTGGCCAACCCGCGCCTCCCGTATCGCCGACCGCGTCACGCTTCTCAGCGCATCCTCCATCCGGTACCGGAACGCCTCCACCTGCTTCATGTCGAATTTGTATTCCTGCAGCTTGCTTCCCCGCGCCGCCTGCTCGGCCTCGATCCGCGCAAACACCTTCTCGTCATTCCTCTGATCCGACATTGTTTCGCCCTTCATTCGTTTGCTGTCCGGCCCGGCTCCCGTCGAGATGAATGACAGGGCCATGCCTGTCCGGCCAGCGCGGGCAGTTCGCCCCACTCGATGTGTGTATGCCCGAGCCGACGAGGGCAGGTCGAAGTTGAGAACACATGCGACATCCACAAAGTCGACGCCACGTGTCACGCCGTACTCCTGTCGCGTTTGTTGTGACTGCTCGATGGCTTTCGCTTCTTGCTGGCCGGGAGCGGTGATACGGACCGCTTGCGCTTTTTGGGGGAGGGTCCAGCTTTGATGGACTCTGGCTCCTCAGCATCTACAGGTTCTCGCTGCGATGGGACAACTGAACTAAAGGTCAACAGAAGACCCAAACAAAAGATGGAACGCACAATCATCCTCGTCTCCCTCATTTTCATCAGCGGATTCCTCATCCTCCTTCTCATCCTCCGAGTCCATCTCACCGGCACCGCTCTCGTCCGTTGCGATGATATAGTCGTACACGCCTTTGTTGAATTCCTGCACCGTGTGGTATCGCGAGTTCAGCGGCAGTTCCGAGTTCAGCACACAACTCTTGATAGAGAACTGCTCCAAGAAGAGTTTCAGGCGGTAACAGCGCTCGACGTCGTTCACGAAGAGAATGCACTTCCCCTTGATGAGCTTGAGCTTGAGAATCACGTAGGTCAGCAGGAACTTGTCGACTTCGTTACACCTGAAGACAGGTTCAGAAAAGAAAGAAACGTGAAATGAGCAACAAACCGAACGGAATACTGGCTGAGATTCGCTGCCTCATCCTCGCTTTCTTCGAGACGCAGGATCGCCTGGTTGACGTCAGCAGTTGTTGATACTACCAGAAGCAACGTACCGGATTCCGCAGTGTCAGGCCTTGAGCATCTCCACATCCTCGGTCATGGTGGCGCTCATAAGGAACGACTGATACACTTTGGAAGGAATGCCCCGCTGAAGATTTGTCGGACATCTTCGTCGTGCCCATACGACAGAATCAGATCCGCCTCGTCGATGACGAGCGATTCAAGCGCAGTGGCAATGAGGGCCTATGAACTGTTGTGATAAAACACCCTCGACACCAAGCAGGGCATACCTTGGACTGCATCAGCGCCAAGGCACGCGATGGCGTCGAGATGACAATGTCCGGCTTGTCGGAAAGTAATGTTCTTGAAATTTATTCTCTTTAGTCACAATGCAGGGAGGGGCAAGGTTCCTACCGTTGCAGATGGGTCGTTACCCAGAAGCAACATTCGAGATCGACACCTGATTTTCGCAATATACAACAAGGCTCTTCAGATACACGGACACCTGTTCCGCAAGCTCCCTTGTTGGCACGAGAATCAAAGCGCGCGTGGCCTGGACCGCATCGAGCGACTACTGAACCATCAGCTCCCGTCCGTCCCACCATCCACAACCCACCTACACTTTTCGCACTCAGGATCTTTTGGACGACTGGTATACAGTATGCCGCGGTTTTCCACTTCCGTACGCGCACGGGCTAGGATATCCTACTTTCGAGTGCAAGAGGGATTGCTTTGTTTGCCCAACGTTGGGCGAGCGAAGCCGAGATCAGCTAGAGCGCGCAATATGCGGGTGTCGAGGAGATTCGCAAACGATGAGAATGTCGCCTTGCTGTCAACGAGGCGCGCATCCGCCATCCGGAAAAGATTGAGTTCGGAAGAGACAAGGAGGAAAATGACTGCTTAGTAAGCGGAAGATCCCGAGTATAAGTGTCAGTGATATAGACGGGGGCGCCCTTCACACGAGTCATCCTTACCCCCACCACATCTTAAAATGTCCACTGCTGAAGAGATCGCCAAAGCAGCCAAGATTGCTTTCGAGGATTCGCAGCTCGTCGCATCGTCTGAACGCGTGAATGCCCTGCATCACATACGGCGAGCCTTGGAGTCATGTAAGGCGGAAATCCTAGCGGCGAACAAGGAGGATCTGCAGGTATGTCCAGACGTAGCCCAGCCTCAAACTGTCGGAACTATCATCTGACAGGCTGCTCAAGTCGAAGTAGACGCAGGGCGGATGACCGAATCACTGCTGAAGCGCTTAGACCTGAACAAGGGCGACAAATGGGACTCGATGCTCGAGGGCGTTTCTCAAGTGCAGACCTGCCGGATCTACCGGTATTGTCTCCTACGCCAAGGCGCTGGATGACGATCTGGAGGTCTTTCGGGTTCCTGTCCTATTGGCGTTCTGCTTGTCATATTCGAAGCGCGTCCGGAGGTCGTGGTGAACATCGCGGCTCTGGCAATCAAGTCCGGTATGTAAATTTTCTCATCCTGGTTGCTCTCTAATGCAAATGCAGGCAATGCTGCCATTCTCAAGGGCGGAAAAGAATCGAATCGAACCACACAACTCCTCGCACAAGCGATCGCAACGGGACTGTCTCAATCGTCTCTCCCCAGCACTATGTGCAGACCATCCAGACCCGGGCAGAGGTCTCATCGCTTCTCTCGTTGGACCAATACATTGACTTGTCATACCACGAGGAAGCAATGCTCTCGTGCGGAACATCCAAAACAACACGCGAATCCCAGTGATGGGACATGCTGACGGCCTGTGCCATGTGTATTTGGATGAATCGGCGGATGCAGAAAAAGCTGCTCGTGTGGTCGTCGACTCGAAGGTGTGCAATCCGGGAGGGAATGCTTCACCTGCTGACTCTCGTAGATCGACTACCCGTCTGCCTGCAACGCAGTTGAGACGCTCATGTACACAAATCTCTGTTGCGAACTGTATGGCCAGTGGTGGCTCGTGCGTTACTCGAAGTCAACGTCCGAATGCTCTGCGATTCCGCGACTCTCGAGGTGGTTCAGAATCTGTCCCCAGCACCGCCGAACTTGACAACCCACATCTCGCCCTCTACCCCCGAATCTACTCCACTGAGCATCTGACGCTCACGCTCTCCGTCGTCACAGTCACTCCCTGTCTGAGGCTGTCCGATTCATCAACTCCCACTCCTCGCACCACACCGATTCCATCGTCACGGAAAACGAGCAGGCCGGAGCTGTATTCTGCCGGGGCGTCGACAGCGCTGGCACTTTCGTCAATGCGAGCACTCGATTTGCTGACGGATTTCGATTCGGGTTTGGGACGGAAGTGGGCATTAGTACTGGGCGCATCCATGCTCGAGGGCCAGTGGGCCTTGAGGGTCTTGTGATCTACAAGTACATGCTTCGGAGTACTGGAGGCAAGGGTCACGTCGTCAGTGACTTTGCAGTTGGAGGGAAGCGATTCACACATTCAAAATACCGCTGCGACACCTGCCTCTCTGTCTCAATGATCTATACGTATATACTGTATACGATACTTTTCTAAGAGCAGTTGATCTGCTCGCTCAGCGTTTGGGGCCAGTGAGCATTCCGTGGAGCAAGGAAGCCGCCAGAAGCGCCTGTTGACCCATGAACTAAT